CCTAAAACCTATTGACAATATCAACAGGATGAAATGAGTCCTGTTGTTTAGTGATTGATAGTTTTAAAATGCAGGTGTTATTATTATCCAGGTATGGTGAAGCTAACAGATTGGAAGATGGCCACCATTTGAAAAAGAAGTTTTTAGGCTGGGCGCGGTGGTTCGTACCTGTAATCCCAGGACTTGGGAAGGCAGAGGTGATAGGATTGCCTGAGCTCTCGGGTTCAAAACCAACCTGGGCAACTTGGCAAGACCTCATCTCTACAATAAATCAAAAAATTCACCAGGCGTGGTTCCAGCTGCTTGGGAGGCTGAGGCGGAAGGATCGCCTGAGCCCAGCAGGTCAAGGCTGCAGTAGCATGCCACTGTGCTCCAGCCTAGGTAACAGAGTAAGACTCTGACTCAAAAAAGAATGAATGAATGAATAACCTTTGTACTTACAACTCTCAAGAGGAAGGCACCTAACAGACCAAGAGAGGCCACACTGGGAGGCAGCAGGGCTAGTCAGGAATAGAAGAGCGAGAGGAAAATCTGGGTGAGAACTTTCATTGTGGTTTTGAAGGAAGGCACAGTAAACATGCTTACAACTGGCAAGTTTGAATAATTTTGGCGGGCGCTGGAACACAGGAGTATTGCCTTGTGTGTGGATCTGGGGTGACTAAGGCAGAGGCATGGTGAGTGTAAGAGCCCTGTGAGCCTCTGATAAAGAAGATGACTGGGGTATGAGCTTTGCACCAGTTGATTTGCATATGAAAGTCATGCTTATAGGTATGTCCTTAACTGTTTCTAAGAATTAGCCCTGAAAGGGGCAGGTTCTCTAGAGCAGCAAGACCCAGATGTCAAAACTTAAGAAAATACAGAAAATGAAAAGCCATGATTTAAATATTAGAACATATCACTCTATATATGGAAAGAGCTATAATTAGATATTTCCATTTTTTCATGTTTTATTTCTTTTTCTTTTCTTCTCTTTTGTTTTCTTTTTCTTTTCTTTTTTTTTTTTTTTTTTTTTGGAGTCAATGTCTCACTCTGTCACCCAGCCTGGAGTAGAGTGACACAATCATGGCTCCTGGGCTCAGACAATACTCCTGCCTCAACCTCCCTAGTACCTGGGACTACAGATGTGTGCCACCATGCCTGGCTAATTTTTTTTTTTATCTTTTGTAGAGACAAGGTCTTGCTGTATTGCTCAGGCTAGTCTCAAACCCCTATATTCAAGTGATTCTCCCGCTTCGGCCTCTCAAGGTACTGGGATTACAGGCCGTGAGCCACCACCCTCAGCCCTGTTTACCACATTTTCAAAATCATTTTATTGAGTGCCTACACTATGCCAGGCACTGTGTTGGCAGTAGGCTCAGAGGAAACCGTCAGGCATGACCCCCGTTTTCAGAATCCACAGGGTAATGAAGGAAACAGTCCCCAAAACAAATGATCACAGAATGGAATGTGCAACGGCCCTGAGGAAGTAAGCAGATTGGGTAACCTGGAAAGGCCAGGAAAAGAAAGAGGAACGCAGAATCTGTTAGTCAAGGTTTTTATTTTTTATTTTTTTTGCTGTCATTCTAGAGAATGGGACAAAAACAAATCTCTGAAACCAGAAAGCAATCTAATATCTTAAACATCACCTTCCCGAGACCAAGTTTCCTTTCAGGGGTTGGTGAATGCGGGTATATGTTTACAAGTTATTCATGACAACCACAATTCCTGAGGACATGTCCTAGTATTGGAAAAAATCTCTTCTCCGTGTTGCATCTTCTATGTCAATTAGATAGTGATTCAGTGCAGAATCTCACCACCCGTGGAAGAGTCATGTCAAAAGAGAAAACACCCCTTCTTCCTCAAACTCACAGAGGGTGGACAAGGAAGTGCTGACCTTGAGAATGAACCTCTTTCTGGCATTGGCTTCTCGCCAGGGCTCACTTGGAACAGTTGAAAACTCTTTCCATACTCCTCTTCTTGTCACGAGTTTCCTCCAAAGTTTTTCTTTGTCTCACGTTAGCCCTGTGCTCCCATTCTTCAAAATAAAGCTGGTGATAGCATTCCTCCCTAAAAACAAAATACATTGCCCACAGGGTAAAATGGGGACTCATAAGCATGACGTAACCAGCTGTTCACAGTCTAGACCTGATCGCATCCCCAGGCCTTTCATTCTGCCATAGGGGATGACTGTTTTCCAGAGGTACGAGCACTTTTCATGTGTCCTCGTCTTGGTCCGGGCTGATCTCTCTACGTAAAATACCCTCCTTCCCTTTCTTCAACAACTTCTACAAGACCTAACTCAGATGTCCCTCCTCTTTGAAACCTCCCCGATAGCCCAGCACAGACTAGACTGCTCTGCCATTATGCCCTTGTACCAATGTGGTCTTGTCTCAGAGCAATGAACACGTATTATTTTACTTCATGGCTCGCCTGCCTGTCGCACCCTTTGAATTGAAATGTTCTTAGGGGTAAGGATTCTGTTCTTTGTCTTGGTATGCCTGTTAGGGTACGGATAGGGTGAGGGTGGATGGATGGCTGGGGAGGGTTGCAGCACCACCACCAGAGCCAGCATGCTGGAGGTGCATGCTGGTAACCAGAGATGCAAGTAGTGGAAAGAATTGCAACACACAAAGAGGTGAAAGAAGAAAAGGTTTATTTAAGACAGGTTCACATCCCATAGACAAGAAGCAAACCTACACTCTAGATGAGTGTGGCACCATAGTCCCCCCACCCATCCCCGAGTCCTGGCTTAAATTCTCTCCCCTGGAGTTGTTGCAATCAGGTAGACGCAACTGCCGTGACTTCTTTGTTGACCACTTGTGGATGTCTTGGTTGGAGATATCTTCCTTGTTGACCACTTGTGACCACTTGTGGACCCCCTGAGGGGGGTCCTGGTATCCAGGCACTGAGTATACAATGGGTTGATACTGGTCATGCTTGAGAAATTTTTTCTAAAAAGACAAATTACAATAGGCCAGTACCGGTCATGCTTAAGGAGTCTGTTCTCTGAAAAGACAAAGTCGGCCAAGTTCATCTTTACCTAGAGCATGTATTTCTCCCAGACATAGCCTCTACTTTCTCATCATTGTGTTAGGATTTAAGAACAAAATTTTAAAAATGGCTTCTCACTCTCAGTTGGTCCTTTCAATGCCCAGAACTCGGTAGAATGTCTGGCTAGAGAAATAACAATCCTATCTAACACTTTTTGAGTTCTGACAATGTGGGAGGTATTGTTCTAAGTCCTTTTTCTGTATTAACTGATTTTATCCTCACAACCTTAAGGAGTATGTCATATTATTATTCCCATTTTACAAGCTACGTGTGGAGACGGAGACACAAACGAATCAGTAACTCGCCCAGAGTGACGCATAATAGGTACTAAACCAGTGCCTTTTTGAACTAGAATGTGGTGAGCCCCTTCCCATGTCTCCACCCATTTGTTTTTCCTGTGAGATTAATAGAAGAGACACTGTTGATTGAGATGAGAGACCTGGGAGAGGTTATCATACAACTACCCAGTCCACTGTAAGTCAGTGGGTAACAATGCATGCTTCTTTGGAAGTCCTTTTTGAGCTGCAAGAAATGCAGAGTGAGTTGTTTTATTTTCCGTTCCACAAATCTTCTTTAAACCAGTAAGAGTAGGGACACAAGCCATAATAGTCTATAATTAAAACTTGTGTTTCATAGGAAATTATTCCATTTGTGGTCTGTTTGCCTATAGGCAGCAGTTGGTCATTATAATGAGTCCTGGTATATGAGAGTTTGTAGAAGTTTCCATACACGTATGCATGTCACTATTTCAGTGCATCTTCATAGGCACCGTAAATTAAGTTGCCAGTGTTTACAGCTAAGGTCACTCTCAAAGGAAAGGTGTCTTAAAGAAATAATTATGGATGGTATTTTGCATTTACCCTTGTTCTCGCGGCAGCATTTTTATGACGTGTTTGAGATTATAACTCTGGGTCCAATCTGATGAGTGCCTGAGCCCTGATTCTGCACTTACTAACCATGTGACTTTTCTTACTTCTCCTGTGATTATATTTCTTCATTTTGAAGCAAAGACAACGATAATTTCTACCAAGGAAAAGTGCTGTAAGGGTTATGAAGGCTCACAACTCGCTTCATGGGCCTAGAACCCGTGCAGTTGTGAAGGACTCATGTTTAGAAGGGCCCACCCTTGGCTTCATGGTCTTCCATCACCAATTTGAAATTATTAATAACTTTTTAAAAGGCTTCTCTTAATCCCAGCACTTTGGGAGACCAAGGTGAGAGGATTGCCTGAGCTCAGGGATTCAAGACCAGACTGGGCAACTTGGGGAAACCTCGTCTCTACAGTAAACCAAAAAAGTAGTGCCACCTGTAGGTTCAGCTACTTGGAAGGATTTCCTGAGCCCAGCGGGTTGAGACTGCGGTGGCCATCAGTGTGCTCCTGCTCTCCAGCTTGGTTGACAGAGTAAGGCTCCAATTCAAAAAAAAGCAAAGAAAAGCTTCTTGTATTTTATCTTGCACTGGACACTGCCAATTATATAGCCATCCCTGTATAGGAATATCTGTGAAGTCTATAGCCCATGGTACCTGGCACATAGAATGACCTTCAATAAAATGTCAGCTATTGCTAATTTTGCAAAGGAGCTTTTAGTTTCTTGGATATAGCCCCAAAGTCCTGTTTTCTGGACTTTTCCAGTCTAGTCTGGACACTGAAACTAATGGTGGGATTTATCACGTATGTCCTCCTACATTTGGGTCACAGCTGATTGGTGAACAACACATTAGGGCCCTCCACCTCTTGGGTTCATTTCTTGTGACTTACAGCTCTGACAGATGGGGTCTGTGGGTGACTCCTAACTTAGACCACAGACTAAATTCCCTATAAATATGAGCCCCATACCTCCATAAGGGATATTAGATGTGGTTTACTTTTGCCTGAAAACTGATGGCTTTAGCTGATACGTTACTGACCTTACTCCAGAAAGACACTTGCTGGAGATCTAATCATCTCTTTTGTTTCTATTGTTCTGCAGACGGTTTGAACTCCAGAAGGACCAACACCAGATAAATTATGAATGTTGAACAAGATGACCTTACATCCACAGCAGATAATGATAGGTCCTAGGTTTAACAGGGCCCTATTTGACCCCCTGCTTGTGGTGCTGCTGGCTCTTCAGCTTCTTGTGGTGGCTGGTTTGGTGCGGGCTCAGACCTGCCCTTCTGTGTGTTCCTGCAGCAACCAGTTCAGCAAGGTGATTTGCGTTCGGAAGAACCTGCGCGAGGTTCCGGATGGCATCTCTACCAACACGCGTCTGCTGAACCTGCACGAGAACCAAATCCAGATCATCAAAGTGAATAGCTTCAAGCACTTGAGGCACCTGGAAATCCTCCAGTTGAGCAGGAACCATATCCGAACCATTGAGATCGGGGCCTTCAATGGTCTGGCGAACCTCAACACTCTGGAACTCTTTGACAATCGTCTGACCACCATCCCGAATGGCGCTTTTGTGTATTTGTCAAAGCTGAAAGAACTCTGGTTGCGAAACAACCCCATCGAAAGCATCCCTTCTTATGCGTTTAACAGAATTCCTTCTCTGCGCCGTCTAGACTTGGGGGAGTTGAAAAGACTTTCATACATCTCAGAAGGTGCCTTTGAAGGTCTGTCCAACTTGAGGTATTTGAACCTTGCCATGTGCAACCTTCGGGAGATCCCTAACCTCACCCCGCTCGTCAAGCTAGATGAGCTCGATCTTTCGGGGAACCATTTATCCGCCATCAGGCCCGGCTCTTTCCAGGGGTTGATGCACCTTCAGAAACTGTGGATGATCCAGTCCCAGATCCAAGTGATTGAACGGAATGCCTTCGATAACCTTCAGTCGCTGGTCGAGATCAACCTGGCACACAACAATCTGACATTGCTGCCTCACGACCTCTTCACGCCCTTGCATCACCTCGAGCGGATCCATCTGCATCACAACCCTTGGAACTGTAACTGTGACATCCTCTGGCTCAGCTGGTGGATCAAAGACATGGCCCCCTCGAACACAGCTTGTTGCGCCCGGTGTAACACCCCCCCCAGCCTGAAGGGGAGGTACATCGGGGAGCTGGACCAGAATTATTTCACGTGCTATGCTCCCGTGATCGTGGAGCCTCCGGCCGACCTCAATGTCACTGAGGGCATGGCCGCTGAGCTGAAGTGCCGGGCCTCCACGTCCCTGACCTCTGTCTCTTGGATCACTCCCAATGGGACAGTCATGACCCACGGGGCCTACAAAGTACGGATAGCTGTGCTCAGCGACGGGACGTTGAATTTCACGAATGTCACCGTACAAGACACAGGCATGTACACGTGTCTGGTGAGCAACTCTGTGGGGAACACGACCGCTTCGGCCACCCTGAATGTCACCGCAGCAGCCACAACCCCGTTCTCTTACTTTTCCACGGTCACAGTGGAGACAATGGAACCTTCTCAGGACGAGGCCCGGACCACGGACACCAACGTGGGCCCCACGCCGGTGATCGACTGGGAGACCACCAATGTGACCACCTCCCTCACGCCCCAGAGCACAAGGTCGACCGAGAAGACCTTCACCATCCCCGTGACTGATCCGAACAGTGGGATCCCGGGCATTGATGAGGTCATGAAGACCACCAAGATCATCATCGGCTGTTTTGTGGCCATCACGCTCATGGCTGCGGTGATGCTGGTCATCTTCTACAAGATGAGGAAGCAGCACCATCGACAGAACCATCACGCCCCCACAAGGACTGTCGAAATCATCAACGTGGATGATGAGATCACGGGGGACACACCCATAGAGAGCCACCTGCCCATGCCTGCGATCGAGCATGAGCACCTGAACCACTATAACTCTTACAAATCTCCCTTCAACCACACAACAACAGTTAACACGATAAACTCAATACACAGTTCAGTGCATGAACCGTTATTGATCCGAATGAACTCTAAAGACAATGTCCAGGAGACTCAAATCTAAAACCTTTACAGAGTTACAGAAAACAAACGCTCAAAAAAAAAAAAAAGACAGTTTATTAAAAATGACACAGATGACTGGGCTAAATCTACTGTTTCAAAAAAGTGTCTTTACAAAAAAAAAACAAAAAAGAAAAGAAATTTATTTATTAAAAATTCTATTGTGATCTAAAGCAGACAAAATGATGTGTATTCCTCAAACCTGTTTTTGCTGCACTTATTTACTATTTTCCACATCTCGTCCCTTCCTTCTCTGGTTGCCATATTTTCATAGGAGATCTTGATTCCTTAAAGAACTGGTCTAGGAAATTTTGTAAGAATTCTGTTACACTTTGAGATTTTTATGGTGAATTCTAGTGGTGAGATCCAGTCTATTTTGTCTCTTTCTCTTTCTCTCTTTTTTTTAGATCTTTTTTCTTTTTCCCTCATACTCTTATGAAGTAATCTAATGGGGAATGCAATATTAGAAATAGATTTTTAAGAGAGAACGAGGAAAAAAAAAAGTAAGATCCTATATTTTTCATGTAATGACTTATTCTGTATTTATGAGGAGGGCCATGCTTTGGAAAAGCAAAAAAGTACACAAACAACCGATTAATTTACATATGAGCATCTATAAAACCCATGACTTTTAAACAACTCTAGAACCAGAATTTGTAGTTCAAAAGCTAAAAATAAGATTATAAATAAAATATTGTTGGTTTTTCTGTACCTGTACAAAACTCATTTGTAGTATGGCTCAAATGTGAGAAACTCGAAGGTAATCAGATTTTCTATTTTCTAGGATAGAAAATATTACAGTATTTAGTCACAAAAATCGGTCCTTGCATGGTCATGTTTGAACTGTTGACTTGAGTTTTAGATCCACATTCAAGAATGCTGTGCTTTTTGTCCCTTCTCATTAGGGTTACCTTTTGTAGAATCCTCAGGTTCCAAAATAATGATTTTGTGAAGCCAATTCCATTCCACTTGAAAGAAAGTTTCAGTATAATTTACTCACTGTCTCCTACACAAAATTCCTTTGCCTGGATGAAATAGAACCACAAAAGATGAAAGTATTTTAAGTTACCTAGAATTAAAAAAGAATGGTGCTGAGTGTTTGCAAATTCAGTTCAATCCAACAATAATGATTGAAAACCTATCATGTGCTAAATACTGATTTTGGCATTATGAGTACACAATCGATAAGATCTGGTTCCCTCCCTTGAACCACTCCCAATCTGTATGAAAAGTGATGAAAGAAATAATCTTGGTTTACTCTAATTTTACTGCTAAGTGGAAGACTGTGAATTGGGACCCTAAAGCTTAAAAATCTTAGGCTACTGTTATTATTGAAACCTCTTGGAACCCTGGTTTCCTCTATTTTTCTAGAAGAGGTGACTATCTTTTTCTAAATGCGGATTGCAGAGCATTAAGGGAGGGTGGGTAGAGATTTACTCTGTAGGATGGTTAAATACCAGAGATGTCAATGCTACTTCAGTGGTAATTTACTAATGGCACTTTTTAAGGAACTGTGGCTATTTTAGCTAAGAACCCATACATTAGCCTATAAGTGAAAAAGGACCTTGCTGGTTGTTACACTTCTGCATTCTCCTGATATTTTAATATATTATCTGTATGACTTCCATCTTTATGTAAAGCAAAATGATATATACAGATCCCATCACTGCCTTGAAACCTGCTACCTCCGTGATGAAACAAGTATTGACCCGTCCAAAAAAAATTTCAGCTCCTAATGAGTAAGCAGCTTAAATACACTTAATTCTGCAGGCTGGACCTCACTCCAGGGTTCTGTGGTCTCCAGGGGTAAAAGATCAATCATGATTAGTAAAGTAGGTCAGAGAAATGGAAGAAGATGGCAAACGGACGAGGCACACAACATTCTTGCATCTAGCTGTGATCACCAATTCTCTGGTTTTTCCTTCTTCATCTCCTACCTCCCTTTGTTAGAAACATAATCCACATTTGCTTGTACTGTGGAGAAGACCCAAGAAAAGGAAACGTGTGTGTTGGCTGTCATGTGTTGAGTTATTCAGTATCGAATATACATAGTATATTCCCAAGCTGCAGATCACAAAACAAACCACCACCACAAAAACACCCACAAATATCTATAACAGCAAGCGAGGGAGAGTGGTATGAATCGAGAGGCCGAAAAGAGCCTGCTTTCTCTTCTTGGGTTGTGCTTAACTGAGTTCTGTCTTGGTTCTGAATCTTCTTTGATTTTGAGCTCCTAACTGTTAAGGGGTTAGTTTAAGCACGCAATTACCCTTGGCTGTGAGAGATGACCTGAGCGGTTAGACAGATTCTACGAAATGGAATGAAAGGTGACTTTGCACTAAAAAAAATTAGGTTGAAATCCAAAGCACCCAATTCAGTCCCCCAGGAGACTGCAGTCACACTAATGAATATATTTTAGGGAAACAAATTGATGACAAGTTTGAATAAACCAGACTTGACTTCTATAGTCAATTTAGAAACATTTATTTTACAAAAGGTCCTTATTGCAGGTTTTGGGGACGGAGGGGAGAGTGCTATGAATGTATTATTTAAAGGAAACTAAAATGACTTCAGGGTGTGTTCTGATGAACAGTGTGTTTGTATTTGGCCTGCGTAACATATTTGGCCCTGACCTGGCGGTGCAGTAGCTGCACTGATACGTGGAAAACCATTACACACAGTGAACTTACCTACTTTAGCAGGAAGCCCATGTAACTTTACTATCTGATACATCCTTGCACAAAAACACGGTTCTGTGTCTTCTGCTCATTTTGTTGTATCCAAAGCCAACTGGGTGGCAGTCTTCTGAAATATGTACATCAAGAATACACCATTTACAGTTAACCAGTTTAAGATAGCCCAATGTTAATTTAGTGTGCGTATATGTATATATATAAGTTTTAATATATATATATAGCCTACTAAAGATATGCATTTTGCTTCAGGGAAGCATCAAAGGTGCTTTAGAAGGAAGATTCTTCACAACTGGCTATAGCCTCAGAACTCTAAAACCCTTCAGAACATGTCCAAATACATTTGCATTAGCAAAATACCAGAAAGATTTTCCGTAGCTCACACTCATAGGCCCTGATATAGCTTCAATAATTTCAGCTCATATTTCATATACTCTGAAATCAAATACTATCTTTTCCAAAGATTGAAATAGGTTATTTGAACATGGAGCAGTGATCAATAATTTTTGAGGAAGAAAACGTGGCTAGTCTACGTTTGTTTTTAAGCTCTATAATCAAATAATTAAAGATTAGGATATGTTTGAGACCCGAAGTGAAATTCTAAATATAAATGTGCTGGAAAAAAACAAACAAACTTGACAATGGAATAGCTATTTGCATGAGAGAAAGAAAAGAAAGAAGACATTTTCAAAACAGGATTTATTAAAACATGAAAAAAAAATTAAATGGAGAGCCCCAGAGTATCTAACATATTTAAGGTAAAGATCAATGTAAAAAGAAGAAAAACCTCAGTCTCATTTCCTTTTGGGATAATCTTCAAGATATTTGTAGTAGAAGAGTGAGATGAATGCTTACAAACACATGTGGCACTTTAAAGCAATTTAAAAATAATGTGTATGATTGTTTATTTGGTGCCTCAGCTTACTGGTTTTAGTAAGAATCTTGAAGACGACGATATCATTAAATATCACAGATGTAGCATGTGAATACCTGGGTAAGGAGTCATACTCTTCTAGGAAACCTTTTGTCTTTCTCATCAAATATAGCAGCCCAGCGTCACATCTCTTATAAAAACAGATCCCAAATTCCCTATGCATCATTATATTGATTAGAATGTGATTCTGGACAGCAACGTGTTCAGATAAAAGTGAACCCAAAAAGTTGCCTTCCAAATTTCAAGGTACCTTCTATTGTTTTTCTCTTTCCACAAGAAGAAATGTGAATTCCTATAAGCTCTGTATGTACTAGATAGGAAGCAGCTGTCTCTCCATGCTCCATTAAGACACAGAGCCACAAGAGAAAGACATATCTGGCTCTCTGAAAGAAAAAAGAAATCTTCTAGAATGCACGTAGCACACTGACAATTAGGGTCCAAATTTAGATCCCGAATGAAGCATTCTCACAACATATCGATTCATGTCATTTTGTTTCTTAAAGTGCTGGCAAGAGAATTTCTGAGATTTCCAACCTTTTTCATATTACTTGCGAAGTTTATCCCAGTTTATAAATTTTAAATGTATTTATAAAATTATTTAATAAAATTTTATAGTACGTGTTTAGCAGTAGCAAGTAAAATTGCTGTTTATTTGTGCTTTTGCCCAGGATAAACACAAAGAGAAAAAAAGGGAGGAAGACAGATAATAAACGAAGCTATTTTAATGAAAGCGCACAATATTGGAAAAAAATCTTTGTTTTGTAAATTTTGTTATCCGCAGCAAATGAGCACTCCCTGTATCCCTTGCACAAAATACAGAAAGCGAGGGCCTACAACAACCAGGCCATGAAGTCTCATCTTTCATGATATGGTCCAGTAATTTCATTTAATTTTGCAGATTATTAATGCTGCACTTTATTGTACATTGGACACTGAGTTGCTGAATTTGACTCGCCCAAATGGCATCAATCCTGCTTTTATCTCATTGCCAGAAACAGTGAATATATTGCTTTCCATTCTGAAGTAAGGGAAGATTCAGTGTTGTTTGAAGGAGAGGGTTGAACACGTTCTGATTAATGTCCTCTAACTCTGAGAACTTGCCCGAACATTCACCTTGTCTAGCCCGAATTCAGTTATGATGAAAACCCTTCGCACGTAAGTCTTCTGAATGACAACTAGCTGATCTCCTTACCTCTGCAGCCCTTAGTCCTACGCTGAAAGAAGTAAAAACAAAGTGGAATTCAGCATTGCTATTAAAGCACAGTTGCTAGTTTTGTAAAGTTTTTAGATTTCTAAGAGAAATTCAAGAAAACTCGATTAAATATATGAAAACATGCACAAAATAATTATATATTTTACGGTATATACTTTTTATGGTAGCTGCTATGAAATTTTAATCAAATAATTTGTAATTCTAAAGAAATCCTGGGTTTCTATTTTTTCTTTTTTTGAGTCGGGGTGTCCCTCTGTCACCCAGGCTGGACTACAGTGGCACAATCAAGACTGGCCACAGCCTTAACCTTCTGGGATCGGGCGATCCTTCTGCCTCAGCTTTCTGGGGAGCTGGGACTACAGGCATAAGACACCATTTATTAATTTTTTTGTTTTTTGTAGAGTCAAGGTCTTGAACTCCTGTGCTCAAGCTGTCTTCTCGCCTCGGTCTCCTAAAATACTGAGATTACAGGCATGTGCCGCTGCGCCCAGTCGGGTTTCTTTATTAATAGAATCATTATGAAAAAAGCAATCTACAAAATTTGTAAAACGCCTTCAACATTAGATGTCGAAATGGACTTCTCATCCTATGACGAGTTCTATTAAAATAATAATAATAAAGTTTCACAAAATGAAAGAGAAATAATAAAGTTTCCCTTTTCCAGTAGGTCTCAAACAGACCAATGCCTGTAAAGATATTTCTCATCATAAATCAGCTGTTAGGGAATGAACGTCAGTTACTTCTATTTTTAAAATGTCGTGCAGCTAGGTATTCTCACCTGAAACGTTTGGAAGAGTCTCGCTAAAAATCACTCTGAAAAAATTAATGTCGCGGTTGATTTGCTCAGTCACATTTTGATTTTTCAGTATTT